CGCCTCGGAAATCCAGGAATACTAGAATCGTGGGTCGCTTATACGTATGGCGTTGTTCTAGCACCTGACGCAGTGTGAAGATTTGGTCAACACAACCCCTACCAGGCCGGAATCCCGCTTGTTGCTCTCGAATTAGTATTTCGCGAGCCACCGTAAGGCGACGAAGCACAATTGACGCCAACAGTCTCGTTACATCCGAGGTCAAGCTGATCCCCTGTGGTCACCACACTCACTACGCGCCCCGTTTTTGAAAATGGGCACCATCACCGATTCTCCCCAGTTGTCTGGGACAGACCCCTTTTCCCAAATGCAAGCAAACAGATCGGACAAGCGCTGACTGAGGACTTCACCCCCGTCTTTGAACAGTGCGGGTGGAAGGTTATATTTGGCTATGGTTCTTTCTATATTGCATCAATTAATACTATAAATCGGATGGTGCAGAACGCCTTAAACTCAGGATTTCATGTGGAGAGGCAACAGCATATCGAATGCACCCGTTGTCCATACATCTCGTTACGTCGTTTGCGGATGCACTAACAGACGCAACCAGACAAGGTGATTGATTTTCGAAGAGGTCGGACGAATAAACGGTGCTTTTAGTTGACCTGTTAGCAAGTGTTTTCACTGGTCGATGCCTGCCTGTTTTTATTCTCTGCGGGTCCCACCCACCGAGTGGCACCTGGATGAGCTCTCAAATAGTTGTTTCGAGGTTTATCAAGCATGTCTCAACCCTCTGGGCCGCCTCAATCCTCTTTTTTCGTTCTCTGAGAGGCTAATTTCTTACCGATACTTTGCTAATGAGAACACAGATGGGTTGACGAACATGTTTTCGGCAAGTTCTTTTCAAGTCATACAATTGCAATGGTTAAGAGAGCGGTATTTAACATATTTGAATGAGTATGGTGTAAATGGACAGGGAATCGAGTGAGATGACACTGGCTACCTATCAAAGAACCATTAGTTCAGGTCGCCAATAGGATGACTTGAGCTAGTCAGNGTCGGCGCAGGGGGTGCTGTAGTTATGTTCAGCACAAGGTGCATGTGTGAGGGGAGGTGAGTAAGTACACCACACGAACAAAGCGTTTTTCTGACAAAGGATCGGGTCGCGATGTCGTATGGCGATAGCTTCAGCCAGTGCAATTGTGCGCTACTATACTGATCTAGGTTGATTAGCCCGCGCCTTGTAAACAACGCGGAAGCTTTGGCTTGGCACCACGTTGTGTGCAGTGCCAGCTAAATGTTGTACTACAGAGCTGGTTATCGTCCTAGTTCCAGAAACTGGCCAGGATGGATTGTGTTCCTTCATTCTTTGGCCGAGTTGCCTGGCCGTGCGTCCGATGTATTCCGCTGCACAGCAGCAAGTTTGCTAAGGCGCAAACTTACTAACCAGAAAGTCCATCTGCATCTCAGCAGATCCTGTCTGGACTTGGGCAACCTAGCGGCATCCCAGACCTCGTTTGGGTAGCGTGGCCGCTAGACACTCAGAGGATGCTACAGACAAACGGCTAATCAAATCTCCCATTAATCCAGTAAGGGGAGTGTGTGAAGTTTTTTGCGTCCATGGTACTCGCTTGAACTTTCGTCAGGCGCCTTCAGATATATTAGATCGCCGATTTCAGCTCCCGAAACACCAAATCTTGCCGGATACCATGTGTACTGTCGTTTTTTGAAATTCTTACACAAGACTTCTACGTCTGTAATGGATGGATGACCTCTCGGTGGAGGCATGGGACTGTTTCGTTTGCAATTCCCACCCGAAAACCGAAGGAGGAAGAAGTCTTGTGGTATGGACCAAAGCCCCATATCAGCGAGGACTTCTTGACCTGAAGTTGCTTGACGTTGAACCCAATTTACTCTAGAGAACACGCACAGCCCTATTATCAGAAAGTACTACTCGTGCAGTACGTGTTTAGAGTATCTGAATTTGTATACGCCTCAGGTGGCGACGGCATCTTGGTGCACCTTCTGGATCCCATCTCGGCAGATAGATCACACCAACAACTCCACAGAAGAGATCATTTTTGGCGGACAACCCGGGTGTGACTTGGCACTCATGACTTGCCTTTTTGATACCATTGAAAGGAAGAAGACCTTCGCTGCGGAGTTATTTATTAGAAAATGCCAACTGACCAGTTACAGACTATTGGACAGGGAAGCAAAACTCTCATTTGCATATTTACAAGAACAAAACGTACTACTCGCACGCCTCCCCATCAGTAGTATCACCGTTACACCATTAGTGGCATCCTTCAGAGTTTGGTGTGGGCCGATGAGATTCGTAAACCCGACATCATTAGACACGAAAATCTGTGCAGTTCGAGCAAATAGTAAGGCCAAGTTTGCTACACTTAGTGGTTGCTTGGACGGAGGGAAGATTCTGCGGCATCCAGCCAAATCTTTCTGTTTCGTTTAGAATTCAGGTAGTTGGAACACCTATCGTTTGCTTTTCGTTCGACTCTCTGACTTATAGTAGCCCTAGATTTTACTCAATTCCACCCACATGAATTAAACGCCGCACGTTCGACCTGTGATCTCAAAGCTGTTACCCGAGAAGTTGCCTTACGAGATTCAGCAATATATCACCTTATTGTAATACTACTTCAAAGTGTGATTCCAAGACTGATCGGTCTCATTCTCTCCATACGTTTTGCTGTATTTTCTTGCTGTCACTGATTAGAATCCTACATACCTGAAATTCCTTCGTATTATTGCACGTGGCTAGTCACACGTTTCCATAGCTTGTTATTCTAGGACTGTAGTATGCCTGTTGAGCTTGAGTTTTCGCCGTATTTTAAGCGATTGTGTAAAAGACGTCTAGGTACATCGAAGCGCAACACACTCTAAACTCTTCCACAGCCCACCACTGTTGATTCTCCTGTTGAAACCGAATTACTCCCCAAATGAGTGTGTTTTGTGAAAAAAAATCACGAATGAATGAAGATAAAACTCACCGTCCGACGCAGATACTGGGACTTCTGGTATTTGTGCAGCATTGAGTTACGGAAAGCTTCGGTTTTTTAGCCTGGGTTAACTAAGGCATAAATCTCTTCGAGGACTGCATTTCATACCAGTATACGACCGCACATAAACCTGTCTAAGAGTGCTTCCATCAAATATAGGATCGTTGCAATATCACCTATCACCTGAGGTACATTTAACTACACCATACCTCAAAAGGTATACATGCGCTGCGCAACTACTGTATACATATGAAGAGCGGTGCATGTTCGAAGGAGATTCGAACCGAATTCTGACTGAGCATGCTGCTTGANATACATGCGCTGCGCAACTGCCGTATACATATGAAGCGCGGTGCATGTTCGAAGGAGAT